GAGGCAAGATCAGGCCACACAAATCAAACACGTCACTCAGCCATAGGATGCTTGATGTCACTTCTGGTAAGGATGATCAAAATACAATCTTTAAGGCCATGTTAACCTAAAACATTTTTTTTCACAGTGCCCTAAACGTGAATTGAGTGCTCATTATCCCTTCTTTTCTCCACCCTGAATGGCCTCCTATGTGGCAGACTGAACATCTGCCTAACTAAAACCTATATATCCTATAAAACAAAACAAAAATCGCCCCTATGTTTTTGACTTTGTCCCTAACAACCTCCCACTGTTTGTCTCCGTCTATCTTAGTCTTAGACGTCAGCAGCAGTTCTCAGAGTGTGATTCCTGGACCAGCATCACCCCAGAAACGTGATAGAAATGCAGATGCTTGTCAGGCCTCCCCCACCCTCCCACGAGCCCTGTTTGATTGGTACCTCTAGGTGGCCTGATATTAAATTCTTACCAGTTATTCTGGTGCTTGCTAAAGCTTAAGAGCCTCTGTTCTGGAACAAGTTTCTTGACCAAGTGCCCAGAGATGGTTTTAGAGTCTTCAAGGTTTTTTGAATCAGCATATAAAATTTTGGCCCAATTCTGGAGAGTAGATTTATAGTAATCAGCCCTTGACCCTAAACAAATTTTGAGTTGCTACCTAATAGTAGCTCTAATATAACGCTGAGTACCTTAATATTGTTTAACTGATTTCCCTAAGCCAGGAGAGCAGGAATCATGTCCATTTTCTTCACTGTATACCTAGCACCTAGAAAATATAACATACATAATAGGTTTTTAATATTTATAATACAGGCCTCTAATCTCCACTTCCATTGGAATGTCCTCATATGCATAAAGTTGATATATCCAGCCAGGTGCAGTGGCACATGCCTATAACTAGGCATTTTTCTTGTATTTTTGTAGTGTTGGGAATCAAACTCAGAACCTCACATGCATGAGGCAAATGCTCTACCACTGAGTCACATCCCTACAGTCACATATCTAGTTCCTAATCTTAGCTACTTGGGAGGCTGAGGCAGAAGGATCACAAGTTCGAGGCCAATGTTGGTACTTTAAGCAAGACCCTGTCACCAAATAAAACAATAAAAAGGGCTGGGGCAAAGCATGTTGATGCATACCTCTGATTCCAAGTGGCTGGAGAGGTTTGAGGCAGGAGAGTCCCAAATACAAAGCCAGCCTCAACAACTTAGTGAGGGCCTAACTAACCAACTTAGCAAGACCCTGTCTCAAGATAAAATATTTAGGGGCTAGGATTGTGGCTCAGCGGTAGAGCACTTACCTCTCAGGGGTGGGACCTTGGTTCAATCCTCAGCGCCACATAAAAATAAAGGCATTGTCCATCTACACCTAAAAAATATAAATTTTTTTTTAAAAAGGTAAAATATTTTAAAATAAGGGCTAGGTATTGACTCAGGTTCCCTTCCCAATACCAAAAAAAAAAAAAAAAAAAAAAAAAGGTTGGGATGTAGCTTAGTGGTAAAGCACCCTTGGGTCTCATCTTTCCCAGTACTGCAAAAACAAAACCAAAAAAAAAAAAAAAATTAACATTTTTTCCTCTTACCACCACCACCAAAAACCTTTTTTCTTGGAACCAGAGATTGAACCCAGGGGCACTTAAACACTGAACCTCCCAAGGCACTAGGATTACAGGTGTGTGCCATGATGCTCAGCCAAAAATCTCTTTTGCCCATATTCTTAATCCTGATGAATGGCACTACCACTCACCAATTGCCCAAGCTGGTCTTGGCTCCCCTTTTCCCTCATACTAACATTCATATTTTTCACCTTGATTTCTCTGAAATCTGTGCATTTCTTTTGGGGTTTTGTCTCAAACATACTAGGTTTAATTTCTGCAATTCTTGGTTACCTTGGACAGGCTATTTTTTTGTTTTTAAAATTCAATTAATAATTTTAATTTTTTTGTTTATATATGACAGCGGAATGCATTACAATTCTTATTACACATATACAGCACAATTTTTCATGTCTCTGCTTGTATATCCACACCAATTCGTGTCTTCATACTTGTACTTTGGATAACAATGTCCATCACATTCCACCATCATTTCTAACCCCATGCCCCCCTTCCCTTCCCACCCCTCTGCCCTATCTAGAGTTCATCTATTCCTCCCATGCTCCCCGTCCCTACCCTTCTATGAATCAGCCTCCTTATATCAGAGAAAACATTCGGCACTTGTTTTTTTGGGATTGGCTAACTTCACTTGGCATTATCTTCTCCAACGCCATCCATTTACCTGCAAATGCCATGACTTTATTCTCTTTTATTGCTGAGTAATATTCCATTGTATATATATATGCCACATTTTCTTTATCCATTCATTCACTGAAGGGCACCTAGGTTGGCTCCAGTTTAGCTATTGTGAATTGTGCTGCTATAAATAATATTGATGTGGCTGTGTCCCTGTAGTATGCTGTTTTTTAAGTCCTTTGGGTATGGACCTATGAGAGGGATAGCTGGGTCAAATGGTGGTTCCATTCCCAACTTCCCAAGGTATCTCCATACTGCTTTCTATATTAGCTGCACCAACTCGCAGTTCCACCAGTAGTGTATGAGTGTACCTTTTCCCACACATTCTCACCAACACTTATTGTTGTTTGTCTTCATAATAGCTGCCATTCTTACTGGAGTGAGATGATTTGCATTTCTCTAATCACTAGAGATGATGAACATTTTTTCATATATTTGTTGACTGATTATATATCATCTTATGAGAAGTATCTGTTCAGGTCATTGACCCATTTTTTTTATGTGTGCGCGCGCGCACTTAGCTTTTTGAGTTCTCTGTATATCCTAGAGATTAGTGCTCTGATGTGAGAGAGGTAAAGATTTGCCCTTGGACAAGTTATTTAACATCACTATGTCTTAAAATGCCTCGTGATAACAGATGCCAAATCAGTGCCCCACTAAGTGATCAGTAATGTTCTTACTCCTTCCTGGCTCACTGCCATTACCCTAGGAGTATCATCGTTTCCAACCAGACTGCTACACAGCCTAATTGTTCTGCTTCTGCTCTAGCCAGCACCCTTGCTCAACAGTGCAGCCAGAATGATCTTTCACAAATGCAAATGAAATGTCATTCTCCTTAAAATCCATTTGTGGCCCTTTTCCGCCTTTAGGCTAAGATTCAAACTTAATAGTTTGGCATATCACACATTCATTGCCCTGCCCCCTGCCACTCCAGGCCCTTCTTCACTTCCTCAGTCACGTGGTTTGCTCCTCTCAGGGAACATAATTTCCCAAACAAGCTGTTCACTCACCTTCAATTCCTCACCTGCTTCCTTGAACCTGCAGGAACTGTCTTGAGTTGTTCTCGTACCATGAAGGCTGTTAGGCAATCCTAGGGCTCTCTCCTGACTCACAGCTGTATTCCCAATACAAAGCAGTCTCTGGCTCATGTGAATGCCAATAAGTAAAGAATTTTACCTCCCAAGTTTTTTTAAAAAAATATTTATTTTTTAGTTGGACACAATATCATCTTTATTTTTATGTGGTGCTGAAGATCACATGTGCTAGGCGAGCAGTCTACTGCTGAGCCACAACCCCAGCCCCTAAGGTTTATTTTGAAGAAAGTTGAATCCAATGAGTTCAGGGTTGGGGATGTATATAACAAGATTATCCCCATATCCTCAAAGTTGTAATGATCTGAACTTTATTTTATTTTTTACACAAATAGAGCACAACTTTTAATTTCTCTGGTTGTACATGATGTAGTCACACCATTCATGCAATCATACCCATCTGTACATAGGGTAATAATGTCCATCTCATTCCACCATCTCCCCAACCCACCACCTCCTGAACTTTTTTTTTTTAATATTTATTTATTTATTTTTAGTTTTCGGCCGACACAACATTTTTGTTTGTATGTGGTGCTGAGGATTGAACCTGGGCCGCACGCATGCCAGGCGAGCGCGCTACCGCTTGAGCCACATCCCCAGCCCCCTCCTGAACTTCTAATAACACTTTTTTTTTAACCTTTATAAGTTGGATTTTGCAATTCTATCACCACTGCCCCACCCCCACCCCTCCCACCCCACATACACACACAGAAAATCCAAGCACTAACTTAGAATTTGTCTCACAAGTTTGTTAAGCTGAGTTACCAGATTCAGTTTACCTTCCTTCAGTCTCAAGACAACTCAACCATGATAAACCTGTAGCACCAAGAACTCTTAGGTGAGCTGGATGCAAAAACCCAGCAAATAAAACATTATGCTGTCATCACATTAAAAAGTAGCTTTGTGGCTCAGTAGGAGTACTTACCTACCACAGGAAGCCCTAGGTTCCAACCCAGGTCACAAAACATGTTGAGGATTGCACAGAAAAACTGGCCACTACACTCATCTAGGGACTATCATTTATTTACATGGCAGTCTATGAATGGTGCCCCAGTTATGCTCTACACACCAGTCTGCAACAACTATATGGAGACCCTATGCATGCTGAAGCTTGGAACAACTGATTTGCTTCACTCGCCTTAAACCTAAGTGAATGACTTATTAAAACGCCTATGTTACCGAGCCATTGACCTCGCTATCAAGCTCTTAGACCATATGCAGAACCCGACGGCCACAGACCAGTGGCTTTGAGAAAGCCCCTGAAATTCAACATAAAATGCTAAGCTATTTATAACTGGTTTCATAAATTTCATTAGCTTTTCAAGGACTATTATCTCCAAAAGTTTAAGAACCACTGCTAGTAGGCACATATATGCTTATATTTTGTGACGAATTCTCTGTCATCTCTTGCACTAATCCCAATTCAAAAACATAATAACCTCGTAATTTCTAAAAATACTCTGCAAAATTTGAGGCTTTCCTTCAGTACTGGGGACCTGAAAATGAAATACAGCAATTACTCTAATAGGTAACATGAAGGAAAGTTACTATTGATTTTCAGTTCAATAACTTTCCCAAATCATAGCTCTATATAAAATTATTTCCCCAATAATGACAACGTAGTATGAAAGTGAAAATATTTTAATATATACATATGAAAAAAAGCCAAAAACACAATAAAATCAAAAGGCATTGAAAGCATTACATAGTGCAAACACCAAAAAGATACAGAGCTATTAACCTAGCGGTACTTATAAAAACCAGGCAGAATATATGAAAACAGACCCCTCAGTCCTCATTTAGTGAGCTGGTCACTTCTGAGTTACTTTAATTGCCTTTTTCTCCTACTTTATGAAACCTCATTTGCTATTCCTGCTGACAATGACCACCTGATTAGAAATATGAAGAAAGCCACGGCTTCTGTATAGTGACAGTACAGTTCACGCCACCTACTCAAGTGTAGGTAGAAAGAATTTTTGCACATCAAGGCCACAGCAAGACAGGTCTATCAGGGTACAATCTTTAATCCAAATGTACACAATTCTCTCAAGACACCGGGTGACAGAACTCTTCTAATCAAGAGTATCATGTCAAAGACAGGACAGGAGCCAGAGTGTGGACTTTGGTAAGCAACACTGGCTTTGCTAGGCAGGCATGAAAAACTCAGCTTCCAGGACATGAGGTATTCTGTATACCCCAAAGCCTGATCAACCAAGAATATAATAACTCCTTACACCTTCTTCAAGGCAATAATAGGTTTTAAAGGTTCTCCCCCATACTAAATTCCCACAACAAACCATGAGGTAGAAAGGGTAAGTGTGTGTGTGCTCATTTTACAAATGATAAAACTGAAGCTTAAAGAAGTTCAAGGCTGAAACTCAAATAAGGGGGATAATCTTTCTCTATCCAAGAGGCATTAATTAGTGCATTGCTATGGACTACAGAGGGTCCTACTAAGAGGCTGATTATGACTTCTGTGCCGAGTGCTGAGGAGGCCAAAAGACATTTAATTTTCTGTTGGTTTTAAAATGGTGTAAGGGGGGGTGGGCAAAGGGAACATTTTGATTCTTGGTGAAAAACAAGACAAACAACAGGGAAAAGGAATAATTCTCCCCTGCACGAAGCGGAGACAATGCTGAGAGTATGGGAGCCAACTGCTATCACATCACACACACAAAGGAAGCCTCAACTACCACTGTTATAATGTTAGACAGGAGCCTCTAGTGTCATGGCTTCCCTCCCTCATGGCTGGAACCCACAATCTCACTCTGCAACACAGTATTGCTCAGGACTGGATGAAAGGGGAATCTTAACTTAAGACATTATAGTTGTAACTGTCCAAGAGTGACACACAAGGCCTCTGTATAAAAGCAACATCCCAAAACAGATAACTTTAAGAGGACTTAAGAGCAACAGTGTGAGGGTGGAAGGAAGTGGAAATGTCTGTTGAAAACAAAGTACTTACTGTTAAAACACAAAAATGCCTTTGGGTAAGAAATTAAATGTGCTGCTAACTCTCATGTGTTATAACGACAATGCCAATTTTCAATAAAGCATTTGCCCAATTACAGAACTGCTCTGAGAAAAGAATTGCTTTGACAACACTATTTGGCCCTTTTAAGGGCCTTGACCTTTCTACCTGAAGAAATGGGTAACCAGAGAGCACTTAATGAAGACCCTAAGTGGGAGTAATGACTACCTGCAAGTGAGGTGGCTTCATGATTTCAGATAGGCTACCAAGAAACATAAATCACTCCTTTATACAGATATGACTATTTCTAACATTTTCAGTCATTCAAAAGGCTACTGGAGGTCCAGTAAATCTAAAAGGTAGGTTTACTGCAATAATTTTAACAAAGCCCCATTCACCAATAATAGCATTACATGAAATTGCACATTCATTACATCAGAAGACTTCAAAATGCTTATTTCACATTCTCCCACAGGAGGGGAGATTTGGTGTTGTCTATAAATGAATATAGCAAGGACAATAAGGAGAGCTTTGCCAACACAAATGACATCTCAAAACAGTAAGGAAAAATTGTCCCCAAATTCGGTCTAGGAAACCACTTTCACAACTGTCTCAGATACTCATTTCCAGTTTGGCCTTAGGATGCTCAAAATTTCCCCTCCTATGCTAAACTATAGCTCATCTACTCACAAATCAGAAAATCCAGCAAAGTAAACTCACCATTCTCTATGGCAGTGCAAAATTCCAAACATTTGTAAACACTGTACATTTTAATTTTGGCACAGGGAGAGCTTGCAGGTTCTTTGAAGTGTAGATTTTAAATACAACTAGCTCTTTATCTACAACCACTTGTAGCAAAGGCAGCATCAGTCTTGACATGGTATGTGTGCATGTACCTATACACTCAGCATGGGAAGGATCATCAAAATTATTCTTTGTAAGTCTGAACAATTTAGGCACAAAAAGGGTTAAACAGAAAACAAAAAATTCACAGTATCTAAAGCCACATACTTTCAGAAGTTCACATAGCTCTGTGGAAACAAAATCCAAACAGGTGGTCAGCAAGTTTCCTCTTTTCTAAAGTATACCAAGAGGTGTCATTACAACAGCTTTATAGAACCCAAAAACATTCATCAACTTCTTATTAATTACTTTTCAAAGGAGCCAACGTGGCATTGAATTGATATACTCAAAAAGCTGTCACAAGGATCTTTACCTTTAAATATACTCATCCAGGAGCTGGGTTGTGGCTCAGTGGCAGAGCGCTTGTCTCACACATGTGAGGCACTGGGTTTGATCCTCAGCACCACAATAAAAAATAAAATAAAAAAAAGAACTCATCCAAACCAAGGAACATTCTACATATTACATACATCTAAATATACACAAATTATAACTAGACCCCAATATTATCTCAAAAACTTGGCAGTGATTCAATCTTAAATTACACAAGTCTATGGCAGTTTGAAGGCCGAACTTGGTTCTACTGTTTCAGCCTATGATCAGACATGATATGATATCTTCAGATGGACTATAAAGAAATAGTAATACCAGCTTAAAAACTTGGCATAGATTATCAGAGTCTGATTAAGCACTAAAAGAAAAAATTAGATGCTGTGATTTCATTAATGTCTTATGGCATTGTGCAGCAGAAAACACTAAACTATACTGTTATTTATTTTATATTTATTTTAAAAGCTCCTTCCTAATAATCAAGATTAGTGATCTTGTAATTGAATGCCCAAGACGACATTTGAAAAGTGAAAGGGGAGAGATGGAGACAAACCAGAAGTAGGATGCTGAAAGATAAGGGAAAACTGGTGCTACCTCCAAAAAAGCAGAGCCTACGTCCCCATAGACACAACTAAAAGATGAAGGGTCTATCTTTTAGTTAATTCTAAAAGATTTCACAAACTATACCTTTGCTTTAGAGGCAATGAAAAAACAAAATCAGAAATAAATTAAGATAGTTTAGTTTTCTGCAGGTAAACAGGAAGTTTGGCTCAAACACAGACCCCTAACACTGCAAAACAAAAACTAAAGAAAATGAAAACATACCTTGGATTCTGTAAGTAAAGTACTTGGTGCTGGGGTTTGGGGGAGTGGAAAAGGCAGTGAAAACCCCAGCTGAGGAAAAAGGAAGGAAACTGAGTGGACTCAGGAGTAAGTCTTGAGTATGAATGTACCAAAATTAGCATAATAAATATACAAAAATAAATAAATGTGTAGTTCTTCTCTCATTTAAGTCTTACAAAAAACTGCAAGTTATATAAGTGGATTACAGGGCACAACTACAGATCTTCAGTTCTGATTTATAAGTTACGAAAGCATCTGACTGGCAAAAATCCAAAAAAAATGGAGAGCTATCAAACTTTACAAAGTAAGTATAGAGGGAGGGACAGAGATGAAATTTTCTAAAATTTTACAACATTCACAATGTTCTAACAAAACATTTAGTAAGTAAGCTTTACTTACTAGGGGGAAAACTAACATCCCTAAATGCAGAGAGCACACCACACTTGAGCTTCAGTTCCCAGGAAAAAATAATACCTAGAGAAAATGGTTCAGAGTCCCTCTGTTACCTTTACTTTTCTCACAGTGGGAGCAGTTTTCTGATTTCGCTAAGCCTGACATTTACCAGGTCTTTCTTTTGGGAGAAATGTTAAAAATCTTTATTCTTTCTAAAGTCTCATTTTGGCTGTAAATCAGAGTCTCTAAAAACATTAGAAGATATATATTTTAAGGTTATTACTTGTCCCAAATTCAACAAGTACCACTCTTTAAAATATTTACCAAAAGTTAACAGGTATTTTTAAGATTTGCTAGTCATGAGACTTGGACTCTAGTAACCCCCAATCATCAGCTTTATCATTTGGCTTCATGTGCAAAGTAAGAGGGACTGAATACATCAGTCTTAAAATTCAGAAACTGTGGCTAAAGTGGTACAGTGCTCGCCTAGCATGTGCGAGGCACTGGGTTCAATCTTTAGCACCACATAAAAATTAAAAAAAATTGTGCCCACCTACAACTAAAAAATGTATACTTAAAAATAATTTCTAAAAAATTTTAAGAAAACTTCCCTTCTAGAAACTAATATGATAAAGGGATCTTGTGCTGCCTACTTCCTGTTTTGAACCTACAAGAACAGGAAATAAAAGCCCTCCTGGGGCGGGGCTTCCACTAGAGTACTCAAGAAAACTTGAATCAAAGTCTCCAAGAATATTTGTTTAAATGGCCCAGACCTCAGAGCTCCGTCTCTGGGAATTTGGGTACTTTAATAAGTAACCAGGTGATTTTTTTGGTCCCCAAGTTCATTTGCAAAATGATGTATTCCTATCCCTGAGGATACATCAAGATTTTACTGTGTATGATGATATATGTATGGTAATAAGGAAATCAACTTGAAAATCTTCAGTGTCTACATGTATTGTCCTAAACCTGATGTGACTTAAGGTGACTAAAGAGATTTAGAGATATTCATTTTTCTTGAACTACTTCCCTTTTTACAACTGTCATACTCCCTAATTCTCTCACGCTAATCTTACTTTAGGTCTTTGCCCTGAGGTATGAACAACTCCAGAGGTACAAAGAGACTAAAAAAACCCTGGAAGGCTCCTAAGAGAAAATGAATACAAGAAAGCAAAGCAAGGGGAGCTTTGGTTAAAAAATTTTGTGCCTTTTCTTTTTAAAAACTAATCACCAAGGGCTAGGGATATAGCTCAGTTGGTAGAGTGCTTGTCTTGAATGCACAAAGCCCTGGGTTCAATCCCCAGTACCACAGGGAAACAAAAAAAGACACAACTTATCACTGAGAAGGCTGTGCCAGATATACGCTCATATATTTATCTGAATTACAACATTTTCTGACTCAAAGTTTCATGTGATTTGGCTCATCAATCTTAAAATGATAGATTTTGCCAGTTCATGTGACAGTACTTTTCTATAAATTTAATCTGCTAAATTTATAGCTCCAAAACTTTGACAAAAATATTTCTGAAGTGTACATATAATATACAATATACTAAGATGGTAGGTATACCCTGTGTAATTTTAAATTTTAAAAATTGAGATCTCATATTAAAAATGTGCAAAAGGAAAACTATTCTGGGAGAGAACGATGAAATGGTTAAAGGACTGTCTCAAAAGTAAATATTTTGCAGTGAGAGGAGTATCCTACAACATGTTTAGAGTGGTGATGACCATTTTTGTGTGTGTGTGTGTGTGTGTGTGTGTGGTGCTGGGGACTGAACGCAGGGCTTTGTGCAATTACTCAGATTTTTAAAACTCACCCAAAGGGAACATTTCATTATGTAATTATATCTAGATTTTTTAAATGTGCAAAAATTTATCTACTTTCTGTTTCTATTTGTGTTAGCCAAATATTTGATAACCATTGCACCTAGTTTAAGTGATGTGCAGTGGCACATGCCTATAAACCTAACTACTTAGAAAACTTAAGGCAGGAGGATCATGAGCTGGAGGCCAGCCTGGGCAACACAATGAGATCTTGTCTCTTTTAGAACTAAAGGGGAGGAGAAGGGGAGAATGGAAGGACAGCAGAATAAAATAGACATTATTAACTAATCAGATTATTTGTTTTTTTCATCGTTAATCCTAGTATTTTTCTAATAACTACCTTGAATTTTGACTCCAGAACAACATTAAATAGAAGGCTAGGGAATAAAATTTTAAAAAGGGTTAATCTTCAAATAATCTGATACATGAATGAATGAATATTTATGTTTATACTGGTAACTGTTCCCTCCCAGATCTTCATCTTTGGAGGGAGAATTGAGTGACTTTTATGTATCTTTTCACATTGATGAAGCCCCCAAACTGATCATCTAGCTCTAAAATCTAGCTCTAAAATAGTCTTAAGTTCCATATAAGCTTCAAAGCAAAAACAATCCAAAACACAGATGTTTACATGTACAAATGAACATATAAAATGGGTTACACTTAGTAGAGATAGTCAATACTGATGTTTCCATACGTGACCTGGTGCTCCTAATTAATATTTCTTTGCAATTGATTCAACTATGCTATAAAAACCTTAATAACTAATTGAATCTCTTTCTTGCAAATAGGACATGAAGCCCCAGCCTTCTTTAGTCTTCTGGCACAGGGAAAACAAGTCGTAAGATGGCTTGTCCTTCCATGAATAATATTCCCGTCTCGTGGTCTTTTCTCACACAAGCTACATGGCTTCAAGATATTCTGGCAATCCTCCATATTTTCTACATCTGTTCTCTGCTCAGAGACGTTATCTGATTGTTCTCCCATACTTGAGATGGTCTCTTGGCTTTCAGAACTGTGAGCCAAATCCAAGAATTCCACTGAGTTGCAGGGATTTAAAAGTTTAGAATTTCCTTCCTTTATAGATACAGCTTTAGGTCTAACAACTGGAGCTGAAACAGTTCTTCGGCAATCAGGGACATCAATTCCTTCACTTTCCTTCTTTTCAGGCACGGCAGTGATGTCAGATGTGGAGAGAGAATGTGTTAATTTAGAACAATCTGAATACCAATCCTTCCTCAAGGCCCAGCAACGGAAACAGTACCTCTTGCTTGGAGAATTAAATTTCTTGCATTCAGTACACTGCCACTCATCCTATAAAGACAAATACAGCCAATTAATACTCAGTAGTGAACTGAGGAAAAGGGAAGGAAAGCTGAATTCTTGACATCTCACTAAGTTAATGATAGATGAAGAAGTCAAGACACACCAGTGGTCCAGCCTAGAATTTGAATAAAGTCTACAGCCACATGAAAGAAAGTCTTTGGAAATTTTACACTTAGGATACTCAAAACTGCCATTTTCAGGAGCTGGGGGTTTAGTTCAGTTGGTAGAGTGCTTGCCTCACATGCACAAGGCCCTGGGTTCAATCCCTAGCACCAAACCCCACCACCCCAACAACAAACAAACAAACAAACAACAAAACAACAGCAACAAAACAACAAAAAAAAAACCCTGCCATTTTCAAGTCAAAATTTGATATAGCTATTTTTTTTTAATATTTATTTTTCAGTTATCAGTGGACACAACTTTCTTCTATTTGTACGTGGTGCTGAGGATGGAACCCAGCACCCCGCGCATGCCAGGCAAGCGTGCTACCACTTGAGCCACATCTCCAGCCCTGATATAGCTATTTTTAAGAAAGTTCAATTATGTGGGTGCAGTGGCCCACACCTGTAATCCCAGTGACTCAGGAGGCTGACAAAAGGATCATAAGTTCAAAGCCAGCCTGAGAAACTTAAGCAAGACCCTGTTTCAAAATAAAAAGGGCTGCTCAGAAGTACAGCACCCCCGAGTCCAAATCTTAGTACCACCAAAAAGGGGGGGGGGGTGTTTAAATTATTATTTTCTATCCAGTCAGAATAAAATTTACATTGTTTGCTCTTCCTTGATGCCTTTTTTAGGTCACTTTACTATGTACAACTCATTCCTTTATCCAATGAGAAGGTAAAGAATGAAAAACAGACAATATTCTTTCTTTCCTACTAATTAACAAATATTATTAAACTTGACAAAGAGAAAACTAAAAGTGAGATCTGAAAACTACTCAATTTTACTCATGTTCTCTCACTGCTCTCAAGATCACAGGTTATTAATTGTATGCCTAAATCATAACCTCTGAAAAATGAATGTTCTTGTCCTGAATGCCCAAGTAATTTTCCCCTATATACATTAGGAAACATTAGAGCCCGATGAATTTTAAATGCCTTACTTAATTCAAAGGTAGCTACCTGGAACAAGTCCTGAGTGTTTAATGTAGATAATTGCTTGGCTTTGACAAGATCAATGATTTGACACTGGCAGACTTGATTTCTTTCAGGACAAAGGCCAAGCACTTCAAGTTGAGAAGTTATAACTCAATTGTCCAGACTGAGCAGCAGGGACACATCCATCTGTAAAACTGGGTTGTTCTCCAGAGAGCCACAAAACACCCTCACTAAGTTTAAGATCTCCCAATCTCATCTGAAATGCTACACAAATACTCAAAGGAATTTCAGAGATTTGGAATTCATAATTGATAATATGCCACAGTTTAACTGGCATCATTTGTTCTCTTTTAATAATAATAGGGCTTAATAAAGTCAATGGCGTCTTTGATTTGATGTATTTACAGTCTATTTGCTTAATAAGTTTAGATAAAAGCATTTATCTCTGGTATTTACATTATGGTCAAGAACACTTAGTGGACCAATATGTTCTACTTTATCATTTTATTAGTTATGTAGATAACTTCAAAGAATTACCATAATGATCAACAGCAGTACAGAGGGAGCAGGGGGAGGATGGACACCAGGGACAACCTAAATAAGTTTCTCTCACCAAACTACAAAATGTAAAATCCCCTTCTTAATTATCCCCCATTTCCTTTCTCCCAAAGTGAGTTAGCTACAAGAGGCACTAGAAGGAAAAATGGGGAAATAACATAAAAAAAAGAGAAAAGGAACATATACATTTGGGGTTAGATTTGTCAATTGGTACAAATTCATGCCTATTATCTAAGAGGTTAATACCAAATCTTTAATAACCTTCAATTAATATTAAACTATATGGAAACTAAGCTGTTTTCCATTTGGACACAATATTTTTTTTTTATGTGGTGCTGAGGATTGAACCCAGTGCCTCACACATGCTAGGTGAGTGCTCTGCCTCTGAGCCACAACCCCAGCCCCTCCATTTGCTTAAGAGAACAATGACAAAATTATTTTGTACTCGTCAAAAAAATTTAGATAGCCTACAATTCTGTACATGGAATTACGAAAAGATAATTAGTAGGAAAAAGTAACACAGGAGTACTTTAACTATATCTCCATCATGCCAAGTCCAAAGAGTTTTGAAGGCAGGAACACAGAGGAATTTTGGTCATCCTTTCCAAAGTAGGGAGAAATTTGATCCTTTTCCCTTCTCAAATTCCAATAAACCCCTAATAAGAAGTAAAGAGCTGGGTGCATGGCGCACACCTGTAATCCCAAGGTCTTAGGAAGCAGAGGAAGGAGAATCCAAAATTTAAGATTAGCCAGGGCAACTAAGTGAGACCTTGCCTCCAAATAAAAACCGCTGAAGATATAGTTCAGAGATAAAGCACCCCTGGATTCAATCCCTGGTACTTCGGAAGGGTGGGGGCAGGGACACACATAAAAAAATCTGGTATCTCTTAGCAACAAAGAATGGTGGCTAGTTAAGGGCAGGGGAAGGTGTTCCTTCAACACAGTGTACTGCTGGGATTAAAGATGTGGCCAGTACAAAACAGCTTTTACTGGACATTCATACCTCAGAGGTAACTTCTATATCAGTATCATCACTTAAGGACCTAGAGTCCTCAAGGTCATCATTTTTCCCCACTTCAATCACCTGTGAAGGCAAAGACATATCATTAATAAGGGTTATCTCTTATAGGTAAGGCTATTACCTGAAAGCAAGACAAAATAGCTTCAATTTAAAACTACATTCTGCCTCCATCACTAGCACTTTTAAAAGGGAGCTAGCTTAAATAAGACCAAAAACATGGTTCAGCACACACCCAGCTGACATTTTAGCAGCAAATGATTGAAAAGGCCCTCAGAAGGGTTACCAAATATCTTCTACATTTAGAAGGGAGGTGTCCAAATTTACAACTACAGAAAATAAATAACATCAAGAGTAAAACAGTTACAAAATACTAAAAATAGAAATCGATCTTGGGAATCTAGGAAGACTCGAAGAATGAAAACAAAGCCATTTAAAATTTTATTCTTCACACTGAAGAATAAAATTAAGCTGAGCATGGTGGTACACGCCTGTAATCCTAGCAACAAGGGAGGCGGAGGCAGGAAGATCACAATTTCATGCCAGCCTCAGCCACTTAGGAAGACCCTGCCTCTAAGTAAGTAGATACATAGATAGGAAGGAAGGATTGGGAACATAGTTCAGTGGTAAAGCAACCCTGGTTCAATTCCCAGTACCAAAACAGAACCAAAATAAACAAGACTAAAAACTGGTTATGCGATATTCTGGTTGCCTTGCCAAAAAAAAAAAAAAAAAACAGGAAACAAAAAGTTAAGAAATATGGGGAATATCTACTTAAAACCCAAGTAGATAGCTTTGTGGTCCAGTAAATAGAACAAAAACAATTAGGAAAACAACTATGAACCTCTACATAAGCCTCTCCTCCCACATATTTATTTAATGGATGTCTAATGAAAATCTTCTGTAGGCTGACCACTAGATCTGCTGCCCAATTTCTTTTGAGACTTATGCTGCCAGTGTCACTTCATTTTAGTGTGTTCACACCATTTATAACACTCCTCTCTTCTCCCATTTTAACTCTAAAATAGGTATAAAAAATTCTCTATCTTACCATTTAGTTATAAAATGATCATGAAAGCTATGAATATTTCTAAGATACCAGTATTTCTTCTCCTACAGGAGCAAATACTGAGACAATTTAGAAGCTTGAATTGTTAGCACAGCAGGATTTCTTTTCCTTTAGTGCATTACGGCTATACGTAATAGTTGGGTTCATTGATAAAAATCATACATCATGGAATTTAATTTACTTCATTTTAATCCCCAATGCCCGCCCCTTCTCTTGATTGCCCCCTCCCCCTATTCTTCCTCTACTCTACTTATCTTCCTTTCCTTCCTTTTCTAAATTGGTGCTTTATAGATATACTTAAAGATGGACAAAGGAGAATTTCTAGAGGAGAAACTAGATAAGCAACAGGATAAAGAATAGCTTATTGCTTCTAATTAGGTAGGGGCTTCACCATGAAACTTTATCTTAACTTCTGGAATAACTTATTATGAACCTTAAAATTGGATATAGGGAAACATTAAAAACTAAAAAGGGACAAGTGTGTGAGAAATTTGTTGTACAAACAGATAACAGCAACCTAAAGAGATCATGCTATGAACACATAAAAACAATGAACATTAAATTTTTCCAGAACGTACCTTTTTGTCACTCACTTTCCCTACTTCTTCACTTGCTTGTTCAGTATCAGCAGCTTCAACTTTTATTCCAACACCTAACTGCTCTGAAACTGACTCATTTAAAAACCACAAATCATCTGTAGTATCTGAAACAATGGCAGTACCTATATCCTAATAGAGAAAAACAAACATGAACTTCTATAATCAGTGTTTATCAGAAAATGTTGAATAGAAATGAACCAAAAACTTTGTATCTTCACATTACATCTCCAGAGAACATCTCACCTTTCCTCAACAGAAGTGTATATATTCAACACATATCTAGCTGACACCTACTGTGGATAAACAAATTCATGGATAGAAGTGTATATGGCAAGGAATTTTCTACTTTAATAGTAAACCAGGTATAATATTCAATAAATAGTACCAAAGAGTTTAAGGATTAAGGACCCAAAGTTACTTAACTTAATAGAATTCATTGACACTTGTTTCTACAAGTGGCCTCTGGGATTTGTAAAATCATTCCATTAATTCTGACATATTCTTTCCTTTAATAGACAATGACTGCTTCCTGAAGAAATACTAATGGTAACCTAAAACCTATTACATTGCCCTTGCTATATGTCCATTCATTTATTCAAAAACTACTCAATAAACGCCTGTTACGTACCAGACACTGTTCTATGTGCTAAGTAAGGGAACAGAGCGGTGAATATTACATCTTAGTGAGAGTAAACAGATAATTAAATACATATGTAAGATACTGAATTGGATAATAATTGCATATATAAGATGCAATGGAGAATATAAACTAAGCTAAGGAACCAGATCTTGAGAAGGAGACAATTAGGGATGGTTTGGCAGGGCAACCACTTAAAACTGTACAACTACAAAAAAAAAAAAAAAAGGTAAATGTATCCCAGTGGAAATGTTCAACATGACAGCCTTGGTGACCAGGGATAATTATAAGGAAATTCCATTTGCGGTAAGTCCTAAATCATGAGAAGGCAATGAAAGAATTTGGGGGAAGACAGTTCAGAAAGAGGAAAAAAATAAATTTATGTTGCCTGAGGGAGGAAGGAATTTTGGGCTACAGGGTCAGAAAGAAGCCTGGTATATCTGGAATGTACACAAAGAATGACAGATGAGGAAAGCCAGACAGTTCAGTTACGGCTATGGAAAGGATCCTAGAATTTATTCTACTTGCTTCCTGAAGCCACTGAAGAATTATACACGCAATTATACGTGTAACTTATCCTTTAAAAAATTTACTCTTTGAGTGGGGTACAGTGGTTCACACCTGTAATCCCAGTGACTTGGGAGGCTGAGACATGGATAAGAAGTTCAAGGTCAGCCTCCACAACTTAGCAAGATCCTGTTTCAACATAAAATAAAAAGGTCTGGGGGCCAAGGTTGTGGCTCAGTGGTAGAGCACTTGCCTAGCATATGTGAGGCACTGCATTTGATGCCCAGCACCAAATAAAAATAAAATAAAGGTATTGTGTCCATCTACAACAACAACAACAAAATTTTAATTTAAAAAAAAAAGGACTGGAAATGTAGTTCAGTGGTAGAGTACTCCTGGGTTCAATCACTGGCACAAAAATTTACTCGAGAAAAAATTATCTATTAGACGAACAAGAATAACAACATTTGTGGTGTGAGGTGGCTACCATATCTGTGTGAGAAAGAATGATGACTTGAATTAATTTATGACAGTGGGACAGTAAAAAGTGGTTAGTGAGGTTCTGTATATGTTTTGGATAAAGAGTTAATAACTATGAATGTGGTCTATGACAGAGAAAATCAGTATGTCCTTGTGTTTGGCAGGAATAATTGGGTAGTAGTAGATTTATGAAAAAGGGAAGGCTTGGAAAGTTCAATAAAACTAAAAAATCAAGATTTCATTTACATATCAGATCCAAAGGGGAAGATGTTAAATAAAGAGTGCAATATGAAAGTTGGGCATTTAGGGGAGAGGTCAGGGCTAGAGATATAAATGTGGGCATCATATACATATAGACAGTATTTAAAGTCAAAGGAAAAAAAAGAATTCTTAAGACAATGCAACTTATGGTCAAGAGTAACCAAGAATGTTACTCTTTAAAAAAAAAAATAAGTTCCCTTTCAAACATGAAATTTACCTGATTTGTCTGTAAATCAGTTGAGCCATTACTTCTAGGTGTATAGTTGTTTCTCAAGTTTCCTAAAAACCACCAAGGCAGGCCAGCTACATCCCACTCCTCAAACCCAAGGTCCAACCTAGATGTCTCATCTTGGCTTAAATTTATCAAGTCTTCATCTATAGAAATTAAATAGAAAGAATAACTATGTATACAACATTTAAGAACTCACAGTCTCCTCATAATACTAACAATCTCTTTATAAGATAGGTAAAAAGAAATTCCTATTCTTAATTAGAACCAGAAATCAATTATTTGTCTTAGTGGCAGAACCCAAATTGCTTCCTGTTTAGGCTTTATTAGCTAGTAATGATAATAGAAGTAGATGATCATTTATGAAGGAATCTAAATCTCAAAAACTATTTGAACAATGGTATCATTCTAAAAAGATTTCTAAACCACCACATACTGGCATTTTAAACATTCACATCACTGTAATAACTAAACAATGACTTGCTCTAGTCCACGGTGCCTGGTAATGGCTCAATCTACAGGACTGCAAAATCATTGACAACACAGTGGCCTAACCATGAGATCAAAATGGGCAATCACAGGGTAGTTAAAGCAGTCATACTGTTATCACACACTTTGAGACAGTTCTCAATAATTCATATGCTTTTGTAGATAACAACCATTTATTAACAGTGAACTCTAGTTGTCAAATATACACATACATTAAGTCCTTTCTGGATTGGTAGACTCTTACTAGAATTAAGCATTCAGAAACACCACAAGTATTAAGGCCCATTTATTTCACATAAAAGATCTTGTATTGTACATGTGAACTACACTCAAGGCAATTATTACTGTAAATCTGCTGCTATCACATGAAATTCTTTCCCATACTCTAGGATTTTGTTCTAATTCACTCTTTGCCTACTTTCAGACTCTTTTCTACCTACCTTATACACTAGGCCTGCCAAAGGCAATCAGAAGTGCTTATTAAACGTGCTGAGCTCTATAGGGGTGTAAGAATTTCTGCAAAAAATTTGTCTCTTGATCCTTTATCTACTTACAAAATAAGTCAACCTGCTTATCATAGGCATATGGGTGGCATCTTTCTATTTATTCATTGATTAAATGATCAGAAGTCAAATTTCTGAGATGAAGTCATAAGTATCCTTATCTATTCAAGCTCTATTACTGTTAAGGAAATGGAAATCTTCCCATTAAAAATTCCGTCCATGGGTTGGGGTTTAGCTCCAGTGGTAAGAATGCTTGCCTTTCAAGTATGAAGCAGCCCAGGGCTTGATTCCTAATACCATTTAAAAAAAAAAAAAAAAACCCTCACCCTATCTATAGATCTCTCTTAAAATCCTAAACTATTTATTCCCAAATTTCCATCACAAACTTCATATTGTGTCTTGAATTAATGGTTCTTTTATTTTGTTATTCTTTTATTTTACTTACTGTTTTATATATAGGAGCTACCAAGGCAGATGAATTTATGTATGCAAAAAAATTCATCAGTAGCAAACCAATCAATAATCAGCTATTTTCTAATCTTCTCTAAGGCATCCTATCTAACAGAAGATCTTACACTACTGCAGTAATCCCAGGTTGCTAAAAGAGCACTAGATCACCTTTAAAGTTAACAATGGTTGAAAAGGATTTTTAGAAAAGAATGAAAAATATGACATATGCCCCTCCTAGTTCACATGAATTACTTTTTTGAGTTCTCTTATCTTCAAGTTTCTATGATGGTCCTAATTACAGCTAGTGCTTAAGATATCCAGATACCTTTTCTAAAAAATAATTACCCCTCCACAAAAAAAAAAGTGTGTGTGGAGGGGGTGCGAACAGGAGAAGGAAGTCTTAATCCAAAACTTACCTTCTCTAGAATTTCTGCATTTATGCTCTGAGGTAGGCAGTGCGGGAATATCACCCTCTTCAATTCTTTTCCTGGAATTAGAACTTTCCTCTGCACTTTGCTGAAAGAAGGGAAAGATGTCTATCAGTATAGTAGAAATGACTGAGACCAGGGGATGTAGCAGTTCCATTCTGGCTCACCAGTGTGTGCAACACAATGGGTTATGCACAAGATCTCTACAATTCACAACAGTCATCCAGTAAAGCAACACAACACCTCTCTTCAACCCATTATGAGCAAAGATACGAGAATCCCAAACCTGGGAGTGGGGGACAATGACCTCTACAAAAAGGTCAAAACTGTTTTTTAAGAGTATTTACCTGTACACTAAGAGTATATGATCTGTATAAAGCTGCTAGCCTAGGGGCTGGGGTTGTGGCTCAGAGATAGAGTGCTCGCCTAGCACATGCGAGGCCCTGGGTTCGATCCTCAGCAACACATAAAAATAAATAAATAAAGGTATTGTGTCCAACTACAACTAAAAAAAAAGCCACTAGGCCTACCACAAAATTAGGCATATTTCAGACAGAATATGAAACTCTCACCATTTACCAATGATTTTAAAACTTCCCCAGGTTTGAGGAAACTTTAGGAAATGGCCTAACATGAACTTAATTGCAACAACCCTGTTAAAATTTTTAATAAAGCAGTTTTCTCAAACACCTATATACACAAATACATATACAATCCTTCACAAACGCACAGGCACACACAAACCCAAAGACAACGCAACTGGAAGAACTGAAGATCAGAAGTGCTACATCCCAAAGAAAGATTCAGAGACTGGAACTCTGTTATGGGCAGAACAGAGAAGGTTCACTCTGTCCCTGGTCTGTGAACTCCCAAGGACCTTTCTTATTAAATTCTTACCACATTTGAGGAAAGGCCTTGGGAGTCCAAGATCCACAGGTACAGAGAAGGGGCCACTCTGTACAACAAAAGAAGTCACCGTGTGGTGATTTTACCTTCGGTTGGTCTTGACTTGGAATATCCAAACTGTGATCCTGTGCGAGAGCGAGAGTCTGAGCAGCATCTGGATAGCAAGTAAAACAAAAGGAAAACCTTCCCTGGTAATAACCATTCTTTCCACACAAAAAGGACCTCAGCAAACAACACTAAAGCCAGATTTGAGCCCTACAGATATACTTCACTGTTCTGGCTGGACAAGGCTCTCATTTGAAAGAAATAACCAGCACTAATAAAAAAAATGACAAAGACCAGCCTGGCATGGTGGTACAGGTCTATAATCCCAGCTACTTGCAAGGCTGAGGCAAGAGAACTGCAAGTTTGAGGCCAGCTTAGGCAACTTCCTGAGACCTCACTTCAAAATAAAATGTGTAAAACAATAAACTATAGTTCAGTGGTAGAGTACTGGCCTAGCATGCATGAGGCCCTGGGTTTAATCCCCAGTACTGAAAAATAAAAATAACAAAGACCAAGATAGGCCACATTCAAAATAATACCAAAATATATCTGGGGAGAAGTGAAAAATTACTAAAAATGACAAGCTTTCAATTTTTTATATGAAAAGTAGCCCCAATCAAGAAATAAGAGTATTTTTATCATCTCTTCCTTTACTACCTAATTTGCCTAACTTCAAACAGCAACAAAAAATGTTTTTTTTAATTTAATTTGGTTTTTTTAAGAGTCAGATTATAAAATCTGAAAACGTAGACTTTCTCCCACTTGCTTTTAAAACAATAGCATCTTCAAGCAAACTGATATTCTAAGTGTCAGTGATGATTTATAATTTAAGTTTCTATTACCTGAATATATATTGGATTTTTTTAAACAAAAACTTAATTTTCCCAAATTATTACAAACATTTCCTAAGAAAGGAGATGAAGCAGACAAAATTTTTCTCAAGGCTACTAACAAAAAAAAAAAAAAAAGAAAAAGAAAGAAAAGAAAAATAAAAGATTATCCTAGATGAGAGAAATTCTTAGATATTGCATTAGCCTAAGAGAGAAATATATTCCAAAGACTTAAATATTTTTCAAGCAGAACAGATGATAAAACCTTGGCTACAGAAAAGAAAATTTAGTAACCCGATTCATTCATTATATGAAGCTACAGCTAATGGAAATGCATCCAAATAAATCAATAGATTTTATCAGCCATTACCAGGTCCAGAGATAAGATATTTACAGAAAATATCATCCTCATCTAATCAAGACTGCCAGAGGAAAAAAAAAATCCAGATTCTACAACTGGTCTGACAATTCAGTTGTTTCGTGCAATGCAAACATCTTCAAAACTGTAATATAAAGAACATTATTCCTAGAAGTGTTTTTATATAAGCTAAGTGATGATACTAAAAGTTCTGACTACAGTGGCCCTCCAAGCAGTTTGACTAACATATACAACGCAGGCGAAACAGTTCCTACAAAGCAATTATATTACTGTCACTTAGGCTAAAACACTAGAAGCAAAAAACCAAACAAAAAAATCTAGGAAAGTCACGTGTAAAAAGAAATTTTAAAATAAATAAAGTTTTCAATCCCCAGTATTACAAAAATAAATCATACACACACACAGTTTGTCATATCTATTTCATTGTGTTAGAATACTCGGGGAAACTTAAATGATTTAAAAAGAACCACCTTCACAGGGTTGGGGTTGTAGTTCAGTGACAGAGCACTTGCCTAGCATTTGAGAGGCACTAGGTTAGATTCACATATACAAATAAACAAAATAAAGGTCCACCAACAAGTAAAAAAAAAAAAAATAAAAAAATTTGCTTTAAAAAGTGGCATCTTCAAAATAAAGGTCTAGGGCTGGGGTTGTGGCTCAGTAGTAGCGCACTTGCCTAGCATGTGTGAGACACTGGTTCGAGTCTCAGCACTGCATATAAATAAATAAAATCCATTGACAACCCCAAAAATAATAATAATTTTAAAAAAATAAAGGTCTAACCTAACCCACTTGCAAAGGTGTAAAATAGTTATATGACAAGCATTCTGATTTGTCTTTTCAAGTAAAACACATGCAATTCAATTTATGAAAATTAATGGAGACGGCCAATGAGGAGCACGAATGCAAGAGCTAATCAGAGAAGATAATCAATCAAAATGGGGGGGGGGGGGTGAGGTTGTAGCTCAGTGGTAGTGCTTGCCTCGCACATGTGAGGCACTGGGTTCGATCCTCAGCACCACATTAAAAAAAATAAAGGTACTGTGTCCATCTACAACTTAAAAAAAAAAATGATGTGCAATTTCCAGGTTTTTATTATTGCATGATGGTTTTATAGACAATGTTAGACAATCTGGGAGTATATGACAACTCTGTATCATACTTTTGCAAATGTTAAAGTCTGAAATTTTTTCAAAATGACAAGTTAAATAACGAATAAAAGTGTTTTAAATTAATGTTCAGGGGGAAAAAATGTGTCCAAAAAAAATGGGTGGAGGGTCAAATTGTTAGAGGCAAGGGTTAAAGAGACATCAATATGTGGTATAATGGGCAGAGAAAGAACTGGCGTGTCAGAAATCTCTGCTCTATTATTTACCAGTAATGTCTAATATTGAGCAAATCACTCATTCTACACAGGCACACACACAAAAAAAAACCTGTTTCTTTAATTCTAGACCCTCCTCACAGGGTTGTTACATAAATTGAAGTGTTTGTTATAGAAATGTTCTTTATGATATATGACATATTAAATTCTGCAGAGAAAGTACCAAAAAAAAATTGAGAGGGGAGAAAAGGTGAAATTATACTCACTCCATATTTCAGACTTAGATCAATGAGAAAAAAAAAATTACTAAAAAAGTAGATCAGCAATTTAAAAAGTTTTTCTATATACTTCCAGCCATTAATGACTATGACAAGAAAGCCGTATGATTTCACAAATCGCTGATATTCAATAAAGTTGCCATCACTTGCAAGACTTCTTAGAAACTTAGAGCTACATCTCTAAATGGGTGAAGTGAGCAAAAATGGCTCAATGAAACAAACAGGCTTCAAAAGTCAATATAAGTTCAAAATCATGTTGCAATGAGAGCAAAACCTCTTTTCCTAACTTTAAAGCATAAATCAATATTAGAAATTGATTCTTTCCGATCTATTTACTTTAGCAAACATAGCCAATTTAAAGAGATTATTTTGAGCTTTCTTCAAAGAACAATGCTACCTACAATCTAATTTAAACTCACAAAATGGCTTCATATAGGAGTGGAGGGGAGGAATTGTCATTATTTGGAAATGACAGTGTTACATTTCAGCTGTATCCAGTTTATTCACCCATGTCTATCATACCACTACTTTGGAGTCTTCAGATTCCAAGGCCAATTTCCTGAACATACCTAATAAATTCAAAGGACTGTATTTAAAAGGTCTAGAATCAAGCAAAGACTTAGACAAACTGGCATTCAGAAAACAGATTACTCAAATCATTAGGTGAATGGTTTTATGGGACCTTTATAATAAATGGATCAGATTGACAACACCTAAGCCCACAGACCTTACATGACTGATGTAATCAGACGACAGTACAAAAGCACCACCTAGGAAGAACTCTTGACAAAAAACTTAAACTTGAATGTATTCAAGCACTAATAGCGTAGGAAAAATAGAAAGGCTGAAGAAACAAGTTAAACAATCACAAGGATACAATCTCCAACTCCTGAGTATAGGAAATTCTACAGGATAAATGATCCATTTCTTTAATAAATCAATGACATGGAAACAAAACAAGTGTTCTATACCACAGTAGAGTGTCTATAGTTAATAATTTATTATGTATTTCAAAAATAGAAGAGAGGATTTTTTAATACTTCCAACACAAAGAAATGATAAATGTTTGAGGTGATATGTACTGATTTGATCATTGCATATTGTATACATGTGACAAAATATATTATACACCACAAATACAATTATGTATAATTGTATCTCATGAAAATGTAAATTTTTTAAAAAGTTGTGATTAAATAAAGGTATTAATTAAAATCAAACCAAACACACAAAAAAGGAGGATTAAGTTTTACGGATTAAAGAAATATGAGATGTATCAACCAAATGCAATGTGTGGACTTTGTTTGAATCCTGATTTGAACAAGCCAAAAATAAAAGATAAGTGCTAGGGATATAGCTCAATGGTAGAGTGGTTGCCTAGCAGGGCTGTGAGGCCGTGGGTTTGATCCCTAGTGAAAATAAAATTAAATTTTAAAACTGTAAAATTTTGAGATAATGGTGAAAATAAAACAGTAACTAGCATATGAAATAGGATTATGGAATAATTATTAATTTTGTTGGGTATAATAATGATGGATGTATGTTTGAATGAAAAATGTCCTTATCTGTTAGAAATGTTTAAGTTATGTCTAAATGTAGCACGCATGACAAAATGTTAATAACTGCCAAGTCTATGTAGGCATCTGCCTAATTCTCAGTATGTTTGAAATTTTTCACAGTGAAAAGTTAAATAATATAGTAATAACATTCTGTAAGACAGACAGTATCCCCAGTCATACAAAAGACTGCATTCCATTTCTATTTCCATCCTCTTGCTTTCCCATAATTTGCCCCTTTGAACTCAAAGCTGTAATATAGACTGAAGAAATATGTGACATACCTGTAGCAGCAGTGGTTAAAGTGACAAGATTCTTTCTTAGCATATCATAGAGAGGGCTGTAAAAGAGATAAAATAAAAAAATTAATAACTCTAAATGCCACTGTTAAGATACTGGTCATGGGCTGGGACTGTGGCTCAGTGGCAGAGTGCTTGCCTTGAATATATGAGGCAATGGGTTCAATCCTCAGCACCACATTAAAAATAAATAAATAAGTAAAGGTACTGTGTCCATCTAAAACTAAAAAAAAAAAAAAAACCATTTCAGTGGTTTTCCATTATATAACACATGTATCTCTGATATGTCATCCCCCAACTTTCCCTATTAAGTATAGAGAAAGAGAATCCTTTTCCCAGAACTGATTTAAAAAAAAAAAAAATCACTCTTAAGGTCTGGGGTTGCAGGTGTGGTTAGAGCACTTGCCTAGCATGTGTCAGGCACTGGGTTTGAGCCTCAGCATCACATAAAAATAAAGGTATTGCATTCATCTACAACTAAATATATTTTTAATAAATAAATAAATAAGCTATATTAAATGTTAAGATATAAATGTCCAGGTTCTTGTGACTACTTTGCCCCCATTAAAAAACTGATTAGGGCTGGGCACTCTGGCCCACACCTGTAATCCCAGCTACTCAGGAGGCTGAGGCAGGAAGATTCCAAGTTCAAAGCCAGCCTCAGCAATTTTGGCAAGAATGTAAGCAATTCAGTAAGACCCTGTCTCTAAATTTGAAAAAAAAAAAGGGGGGGGGGGGGCTGGGGATGTGGCTCAGTGGTTAAGTGCCCCTGGATTCAATCCCCACCCCAGTACCAAAAAACTGATTAGTTTTTGGTTTAAAAAAAAATGATTAGTTTCTAGTTACAGTGGCGCATACCTGAGGTTGAGGCAGGAGGATTACAAGTCTAAGGCCAGCCTCAGCAACTTAGCAAAGCCCTAAGCAAGACCCTGTCTCGAAATAAAAAATTATAAAGACTGGGGATGTAGCTTAGTGGTAAAGTGACCCTGGCTTAAAAGACAAAAACAAAACACAAACAAAAAACACTTGCTTACATTTTATGTCATTAGCTAACAGTTACCCAAGTTGGGATATTTCCTTCATTTTAATTGAGGGGCAAAGGTGGAGAAAAGTCTTACTAACTTAAGAAAATGAGCTAGAAGAAAGTAGTCTTTACTAAGCTACAAAGAAAAGTGAACAATGGTTTCTCAATGACTGACCAGCTTGACCTAATGCAATACACCCCATGCAAGAGGAGAAAGTCACACAAAGATCATCTTATCTCTACTATGATTCTGCCTAGGCTCACCATCAACCTCAAATTGTCCTGCAATTCTACTTTTTATCTGCTCCTATTTTTCATCTTTGATCTTTCCTCCTATTTCTAATAATTACTTCACAAAATCCTAAACTAGCTACATCAAACTATCTCCTACCTGCATGATATCCAATCTGAAGCTCTCCTTCAACTATCCCCTCTGTGTTGTTTAGTTCTCAGCTTAAATTTCACTTCCTCATGGAAACACTAATATTCTAAAATTCCACCCACTCCTAACTTTATGTACTTCTTTTCTGTAGCGTTTCTGTAATGCAATTTTACCACATATTAGTGTGATTATTTGATTAAAATGGGAAAGACCATTTATTCTTAAAGCTCTAAAAATCAAGACTGTGTTGCTCACTACTATATTCCCAGTGCCTAGCAAACGTATGCCAACCCCTAAATATCTGTTGAGTAAACGAATTAATCATCAATAACCCAAGAAGATTAATAAGCACTCAAAAAGATACAAATCCCTAACTCTTTCTACCTTGGATCTTTCACGGAGAAGCTCTGACGTCCCAGTAGTTCTCCCAAAAGATCTCCACCACAATAAACCATATGCTGCTCCTGTTGATCATAAAGCTGCTTCACCATTATATACTGGCCTAGATAGTGCATTACCTGCGTGGGAATAAAATAACATGAAAGAATCTGCTGGACTACTACCTAAAACAAAAATTATAAAAAGTAGATAAGGAAGTATGCTAGAGAAAGAGAACACATTTATAAGATTGTCAGTGCTTGTACACTGGCAATATAAAAGGGGTCCTACAACAGGATAGTTGTTCCCAACTACTAAGTACATCCACTCATTATCTTTCCGGCCATCAACAGACTCAGACAGAAATGTGCTCATCCAGGGCTGGGGATGTGGCTCAAGCAGAGCGCGCTCTCCTGGCATGTGCGCAGTGCTGGGTTTGATCCTCAGCACCACAAACAAATAAAGACGTTGTGTCTGCCGACAACTAAAAAATAAATATTAAATTTTCTCTTAAAAAAAAAAAAAAAAAACTAGGATTTGTATTCTTTAAAAAAAAAAAAGAAAAGAAAAGAAATGTGCTCATCCAACAGTGAGAAAAGTGATGAATCTACTTAATATCCCCTCAAAAATGTTCACTAGTTCAAATGAAAATGTCTGTTCTATTATTAAAAGCAATAAGCTTTAAATCTGCCTGGACCATAAAAATATTTCCTAAATCCCAGAGGCATATAAACAACTAGGCTTCTGCTGAGTTCACTTTTTTCTTTCTGGCACATGTACAGTGTTTAAGAAGCTAATAAGCAATGTATCTGCACAAAATAGAATCTAGGTATTTGACAAATAAATACTTATGTCTGAGGTTTTTTTCCCCCACAGAATTCACAAAATGGAAAAGAACAAGTTCATGATTCAAAACCTGAACATTATATTTTAAAATGCAGATGAAGCATTTCCTGTAACTTTTATTATGTCATCCAGGTTGGAACATTTTGTCAATGGACCTGTCTGCATTTTAGGATAAAACTAATGAAACTTATTGAAAATAAATGTTTTCTAAAGGTAGAAGACTTGGAAAAAAAATTTTTTAACTTAATAATTGGTTGTCATAGATCACAAACTAAAAAAAATCTTTATTTCTTATTTTTTATTTTTTTTATGTGGTGTTGGGGATTGAACCCAGGGCCTTGTGCATGCAAGGCAAGCACTCTACCAACTGAACTATATCCCCAGCCCAGCTATCTTTAGATTCCAACTTCTTAGGAATTATTAAATATCTGTATAGAACTTTTCTAACATAATCCTTACTATATTGAAGCAATGATGCTCCTAATAACATCCCCAAATACGTATTAATGGATTAACTGAGATCTCATATCTAATCTATTATGGGAAAATAAGATGGAGAAAAGCACCTACTGGAAGAAATAGGAGGAAGTTCTTTATATCCATCCAACTTTCCGAAAAAATAAACTAACCTAAGTATATAAACAGGATCTCCTAAAACACTCTGAATTTATATATAATACTCTCATTAAATCATCTGCCTCAACGTACACATTGAGAAACATGATTTAATAATAAAAAAATCAGAGAATTCCCCTTTAGGATCAAGATAGGGTCATGGTTCATAAAAGCTTATCATATAAACATAGGCAAATCTGCTTCACAAATAAAGATGGCATAATTCAGCATAACAACTTTAATGATATTAAAAAAATTCAGACTTTAGTAACAGGAGTCTTACATATAAGGATTCTAAAGATACAAATTCACATATAAAGATCTGAAATGCCTCCAGATTCATTTCTTTGAGAGGCATATTATAGCTCAGGAGCACAGCATTACTACAGATATGGAGTTTTTCAAGGGAAAAAAAAAACACACTTCATAATTTTATTTCCTCTCTTTAGGAAAAGTCAGATATCTACCCTTCTAAATGCAAACAGTTCCAACAGATTAACATTTTAATATTGGGTCTTTTCCACTTAAGGAATTCAATTTGTCTTTGTTTCTTAAAAAAAAAAAAAAAAAACAACTTCAGAAGCTAAATAAGTTATTTAAATGCATAAATGTTTAAAATAACTCAGTTCTCAGAAGAGTATCTGACACATTTATAATGAAACACTACTATAAATTCCTGCTTAGCAGCATATCTTGTAAATCATAGTGTCATTTTCTTAAATCTGTCCATGTTTTGCTTATTAACTCTGAGATCAATGAATTCATGGCTAATCTTATATTTAAAAGATACTTCAAAATGAATTCTAAAGAAAGTATGAAGTTCAACTTAACAGTCTTAAAGACAAAACAGCAAAAATCACCTCCCTCTGGTACCTCAGAGTAGAACTCTTATCTCTGATTTCAGAACTATTTACTGGATGCTCCTATTCAACTGTTCTTAAAAACTGAGAATTTTCATTGATGTCTTACCTCTTTAACAGTGAACATTTCACCTTCTGCACCTGCTGCCTGCAAAATCTTCAAAAGTGGCAATTTTGGTCGTACCTGATGTAAACATGAAATAAATTTGCTATTTACATTTCAATTATATTGGTCTCAAATCCTATGGAACAAGCAAATTTCTTTAAATACTTTCTTTTTTTAAACAAACTCTGGAAGACACTTATCACTTAATAATGTACAATCTGCTCTGTATAAATCCTAATCAGTGAATGCAGCTATGTTTATGTTCTTCAATTCAATTTCCTAAAAATTTAAAGAAAAACAGGAATGCCCAATAATGACTCACCTTATTGACTCGTTCTGGAGAGATCCTGCAAGCACTATCAGATGTTGAACACTGGGCAGAGGTGGAATATGATGTCATTTTGACTGAAGAAACTGCAGTCTGTTGATAAAACTAAAAGGAAATGTATATATAGAAAACTGTGTCTTTAGCACTAAAAAAAAAAGTCAAAGAAAGTAAATAAAAAGACACATGTAGGGCTGGGGTTGTGGCTCAGAGGTAGAGCACTTGCCTAGCATGCCTGAGGCACTGTGTTTGATCCTCAGCACGACATAAAAAATAAAAATAATAATAATAATAAAATATTGTGCCCACCTATAACTAAAAAATATTTTTTTTAAAAGACACATGTAATGCAGATATCTATCAGAGCATTCTACATGAATGTAATTTACTCATGCTGAGGTTCTCCGTATCTTCCAATCATTTTCTAGTTCAGATCCTGCAAAAACTTAAAAAGTTTAACTGAGACTAAAAACCATCTATGTCTTCAGGTGAAGCATGAAAAAGAAACAGGTTTGGGCATGCTCCAACCTCCATACTGATGTAAATGAGTAAATTGTTTTAGCTGAAAGTCATTTACAATCATTACTTCCTCAAAGGATATCAAGTTCCTTTCTCCTGGTGATGTGAAGACCCTCTCTGGAAGACAGATGTAAAGCTGGAGAAATGCCAAGATAAGATTCCAAGCATTTCAAGGAAAATCTCAGCAACATGTTGGAACATGTCTCATTGAATAAAGTGAGAGTCAACATTTTCAATATCAGCTTCTGAGGACTGAGGATAGCTCAGTTAGTGGTGTGCTTGCCTCCATGCACAAAACCCTGGGTTTGATCCCCAGCACTACAAAAAAAAAAAAAGCTTCTGAATGCACCAAACCTAAAAGGGCTGGGGTTGTGGCTCAGTGGTAGGGCACTTGCCTACCACGTGTGAGGCACTGGATTCGATTCTCAGCACCTATATAAAAAAAGTTCACTGGCAACTAAAAAAAAAAAAAAACTAAAAATGGGTTAAACCAAGGTAGACATATATCATCAGAGAAAAATGCAGCATGAATTGAAAGAAAATTTAAAATTGTTCACTCTCTACTTCTTTAAAAAAAAAAAAAACTATACAGAAGGAAAATAAATATTTAAATTAACTGCTTGAGTTTACCTTCAGGTTTTTAAAAATAGATGGAACTCAATTAGTGAAATTTGTGACTTACAAGTCACATGAGGAAAAGAGTGAAAGGAACTTAGAAAAACAAACAAATGCACTGGCTGAAGCTAACAAAATCCCTTATTCTTCAGAGAAAGCTAAACTATAATTCCTCTCTGCCCCATTAGCTTCCCTTGTTATAAAAGGAAGTCAAACAGGATATAAACACAACTTAAATCCTTAAATCTTTTAAAACTGGCTTTTAATTTGTACTTCAAACCCTACAAATATAAAAATCACTTGATCTCCTCAAACCTGCCAGTTCTGCAGTCTTCCCCCTCTCAGTAAATGGCTATTCCAGCCTTCTAGTTGTTCAGGTCAATAACTCATGAAGCCACCCTTGACTCCTCTTTCACTCCACACCCAGTCCATAAATAAATTCTTAAGCTGCGACTTCAGATTATGTCCAAAATCTAATCACTTCTCACTACTTGTTATTACTACATTAATATAACCCAACTCTCTCTTAATTGCATCAGGAGAATAACAAACTCAGTTTCTCATATACTCTCACTCAACAATCCACACAGACTTCTGTGACCTATGGTCACCAATTAAGAGCATTTGGGCCCATCAGTAACCAACCAATTCTGCAGCAGACCCAGCTGGGTATCCTCTAATTTTACCTGAAGATAGGGTCAGATGCTGTTACCGCTGTTGACCGGTGACGAGTCCTTGCTTCCCCAATGTTGAAGAATAACACCATAGAAGCATGCCGCGGCAAGGTCAGAGTAGAAATTAGAAGTTTATTAAAGGACAGCAGAAAAGACTTCTCCAGGAGGAAGAAGGGGACCCAAAAGATGGAAGTGCGGTTGTCTCTCCATTTTATAGTTTCTTTCAGTGATGGAATGTAGGTGGGAAGGCCCGAGAAGTGGGACACAGGTGGGCACTTCCGAGTCAGCATCTTCAAGTTTGCTGTTCATTAACATTTCTTTGGGATGGACTTTGGCCTTGGACTTTTTCCTGGACTTCCTTAACATTCCAGGAGAGTTGCTCAACTTTTCTGGAATTCATTCTCAACATGGCCTCCATTTAGATTTCACTAGATATTAGACTCGATTTACCTAACTACACTGACTACCTAATTTTAAATCTGGCTTCAATGCTACAGATTGAATGCTCAATCCCAGACTGCGCCCCAATGCCAATGCTAATTGAAAGCTGCAGCTTGTTTTACCTGTACTTCCAACTGAATGGCTACAAATCAGGATTCCCACAACCCCCTTCTTAGAACCAATTAATTTGTTATGGAAACCACATCTAATTTATTATAAAGGATATCGATGAGCACCAAATGGGAAGCACAGGGCAAGGTATGTGGGAAGGAGTAAGAAAATTCCAAGACCTTTTCTGGGCAAACAACCCTTCAAAAACCTCAGCTATCAAAAATCTGTCCTTTTGGGCTTTTATGTAGGTTTCATTACATAGACTGATTTGCGTATCATAGGCATCAAGGGCCACTGAAGATCAATTTAACCTTCAGCCTTTCTCCCCTCCCCCAAAGACAGAAGGGTAGGGCTGAAAGTCCCAACAGTAATCCTACCTTGGATTTTCTGGTGACCAGCCCCCATCTCATAGCTACATAGGGGCTGCCAGCCACCAGTAAACTCATTAGCATACAAAAGGCATTTATCACTTTGGAGATTCCAAGTACTCCTGAAACTGCATGCCAGGAAACTCAGGTTAAATTTTTTAAAAATGTACACACACATACAACACATGCACATAGTATCACTCCTCTTTAAAGTTTTCTGGCTTCCCCTGTCCTTTAGTTCCTATCCTTTTGTCTTCACTTAAGCGTCAGTCTGTCCATCAGTCTGTCCCTGAGGTCTCCCAGTGATCAACCATTTTTTTTTTTTTTAAGAAAGAGAGAACTTCAATATTTATTTTTCAGTTTTTGGCAGACACAACATCTTTATTTGTATGTGGTGCTGAGGATCGAACCCGGGCCGCACGCATGCCAGGCGAGCGTGCTACCGCTTGAGCCACATCCCCAGCCCAACCAACCATTTTTAATAAGTGCAACTCCCAACCCCCTGTATTACTGTCTCCTTTCCTGCTTTATTTTTCTCCACCATCCTTATTACAAACTATATACTATACATATTAATATATTATGTAGAACATAAACTCTAAGTGGGCAGAAATTTATATCTATTTGCTCATTAATATATGTACCGGATCCTTTAATACAGCTGGCAGAGTTTACAAGACCTCATAGCCTGAGTTTTTTTTTTTTTTTTTAATGGGATTTTGCACCCAAGGGCACTTAACCACTGAGCAACATTCACAGCCCTTTTTGAGGCAGGGCCTTGCTGAGTTGTTGAGGCTGACTCTTAACTCAGGATCTTCCTGCCTCAGTCTCCAGAGTTGCTGGGATTTACAGGCATTATGTGCCATCATGCCTGGCACATGATCATACTTCATGTCCTATTTAAATAAATGTGCTTGGCTATAAAATTCTAGGTGGCTTCAATACTCTGAAAACTCTTTTTTTTGTTTTCTTGCATCTAGTGATATTGCAGGAAATTTTTATTTGCTTCCTTGTAAGTGATCTGTTCTGAGATCCTAGTATTTTTCTTTTGCTTTGATCTTCTTGACTATTAAGCTAGGACTTAATTTGACTCACCTAGGAATGAGTTTTCCTTATTTCTCACCTTTAGCATTCTAAAGAATCTCAAGCACAGGTCTTTGTAACTGTGAAGGAGAATTACTCCATTATTTCTTCAAGCATTTCCTCCCTTTTATTTCTCTAAAACTTCTATTAAATCAGATGCATCTCTACATTTACTCTACTTTTCTCCTTGCTTTTTCTATGTCTTTTTCCTTATTATAAAAGATTTTCTTAATGTCTCAGTTGTATCCATTCTGTTATGCTTCCCATGTATAATATAACCATTGTATTCTTCATGCCTACTATTTGTTTGGTTCTCCCAGCCCCTGTGAATTCTTATTTCAAATTGTTAACATCTCCCTTCATTTCTTCTAGGATGATTATCAGTAGCTAACTTTAAATTGTTGGTCAATCTGTCCTCACGTTTCTGTTCCAATTAAGCCTATATAGTTTCGATTAAAGTATTTGTGTCCTTCAACTGTATTTTTCTGGGGAGATCTGATCAGGTACTCTAACAAGTGAAGCATATGGGGGAAATCCAGACTCCAGCCCATCAGCCCCTGTAAGCTGGAGAAAGAAATGAGGGCTCCAGTAGAAAGCGCCACTCCAAACCAGAATCTACAAAATCACTCCTCAGATCAGGGTTTCACTCTTTGTTCCCCAAGGACAGAAACATGATGATAGAGATTTACCAAGACCTAAGGATAAGGGACAGAGACTGCCTAAAGTCTTTGTCACCACCTGATTCCCAGTTTGTTTTTCTCAACTCCTCACAAGATGGGTACCAAGCATGGTACTTGAGGGGAAGTGAACTAGGAATCTCTGCCACAGGTGTGGAAAAAGGTAACTCCAAGGTAACAACGCAGGAAAGAAATAGGAGCAGTTTTCCAACAGTTCCTTTTCCCTACAGTTGTATTCTTACACAGCCATGCCTGACACTTATTTCAAGACAGTCCTCCCTTCTCCCATCAGTTCAAAAAGATCCCCATCACCCATTACTTCTCACAATATTTTCCTTTTATAGTTCTTCCAAGCACGACTTTGGGGAAGGGAGCCAGCAGTCACGCTAGTTCAGCATAGAGATGGGAACAGAAAATGACTTCTTGGCAGTTTTGAAGAATTTAAACCACAGTGAGGGTTTCTTACATTAACACCTGGTAGAAAGTGTTGTCCCATTAAAAAGATAATGAATATAAGAACCTTTTTGAGGAAGTGTTTCTGAGAAAATGCAAATATAAGAGTAGCTCTTAAAAACTGTCCTTTTGTAAAAGAAACATCTAGAAAGGAAATCTATAATCAGTAAAGAATCTGTATCAGGAAAATGGCTGATGACTTTTATTACCCAAGAGACTTTATCTGCATAACAAGACAACCTTTATTCACCACACAATTCCTTCCCTCATTCTCCCATAATGCATGTGGCCATCAACCCTAGAACCCCCAAAACCCAATGCCTTCTGTAGCTCAGGAGATTATACAAGTTTCAATATTGGACCTTTTTTCCAGTCTTTATTTTGTGAGAATTTGTAAGTACATGACTATGTTTTTTTTTCTCTCTTATTAATGTCTTATGTTAACTCACAGCCCAACGAATCTAGAAAGGTAAACCATTTTTCACAACTTATAAGAGGTACTCCCATATACAGAAACTCGTTCCCCTCACAGGGTATGTGTACACAAGCTTTCTCGCTTTCTTTTCTTTTCTTTTTTTTTTTTTTTGGTACCAGCGATTGAAGCCAGGGACATTTACCACTGAGCCTAGCCCTCTTTTTTAAATTTTATTTAGAGACAGGGTCTCACTAAATTTCTGAGGCTGACTTTGAACTCAAGATCCTCCTGCCTCAACCTCCAAAGCTGCTGGATATACAAAGTTTGCATTACTGTACCTGGCTACAAGCTTTCTTTACAGGTTTTCGACTAATTTTCCATTCCATCTTGGTATTCTCCAAGTCTCCACTTCCACCACTCAACACCCACCATTATGAATGGCAAACTCAATTTGCCTCCTTTACCACTCATCTCTCAAGAGTTTTTAGCATTGAGTTTTCAAACTGTTAAGTTGTACCCCAATAGGCCTAAACACTCCCTCAGAATTAATGAATAGAAAATAAAACAATGCTTAACAAAATTATATTTTATATCATGGAAACCATTTCTGTTACTCCAAGTAGCTAACACTTACTGAACATGCTTGGGAATCTGAGGCAGGAAGATCGAAGTTCCAGGCTAGCCTGGGCAAAGTAATAAGACCCTGTCTCAAAATAAAAATCAAAAAAGAAACAAACAAATAACAGCAGCATAAAATGTGGAGATGTAGCTAAGTGGTTAAGGGCCCTTGGGTTCAAGCCCCAATACCAAAAAAGAAAGAAAGAAAGAAAGCATGCAGGGCCCAGTAGCACACACCTATAATCCAAGCAACTCAAGAGGCTGAGGCAGGAGAATTGCAAATTTGAGGCCAACTTCAGCAATTTAGCAAGGTCCTTGCAACTTAGCAAGATCCCATCTCAAAACAAAAAAATTTAAAAGGGCTGGTGTTGTGGCTCCATGGTCAAGTGCTCCTCCATCCCCAGTATCCAAAAAATAATAAAGTAGTTGGTTTTTGTTTTGTTTTTGTGGTACCAGGAGCACTTTAATGCTGAATTACATCCCCAGTCATTTTTGGCTTTTTTTTTTTTTTTGAGACATGGTTCAGGCTGCCCTCAAACTTGTGGTGCTCCTGCCTCAGACACCCAAGTAGCTAAGAGTACAAGCATGCACCACCATGACTGCCTGAAAAATGAATATAAAAAGGGGTGGAGGTGTAACTAATGATAAAGCATCCCTGGGTTCAATTCACAGTACTACCACATTCTATATTAAGCACTTTCGGATCATGCATTCTTTAAAGCACTTTTCATATAATAACGCATTTAATCCTTAGGGAGACCCCAAAAGGTAGACAGTATTGCCTCAATTGCAGAAAGAGAACTGAAGCAAAGAGAAAGAAAACATGCCCAAATCATGGAGTACAAGCACTATGGCTGCAGAAGCCACAACTATTCCTATTACTCCCATGTGTAATAGGACACAATACAAAATTTATTTTTCACTGGGGGGTCATGATTAAAATTTGAAAGCCTTAGTACTTGTCTTTTCTCCAAGACTCAAAATTTTTATTCATTCTTCTACCTAGGTCAAAAGTCACTTCCTTAGTCAACAGTTTTTCTGAATCCCAAGGGAAGTTAATGATGTCAAAGCACCTCTATTAAAATACTTACTTGGGGGTGAGGGTGTAGCTCAGTGGGAGAGCATGTGCAAAACCTTGTGTTCAACACTAGCGCACACACACACAAAAAAAAACCCACATATTTTTATCTTTTCATCTGTGTGCCTACTAGACTGAAATCCCAGAAAGCTGAACAGTTAGTTTTATTCATCTCAGAGATGATAAAAGGGTGGTTTCCACCCTATACTCAGTCCAAGAGACTCCTATATACCTCATCTTCAAATCTCTACCTTTAAAGACAACTATGATTTTAAGAGTAAAATAAAAACTTATCAGTAGCAGAACTAACTGTTCTATAACTTCCTTAAAGCTGTGGGAGCCAGGTGCTCGCCTGTAATCCCAGCAGATCAGGAGGATGAGGCAGAAGGACTGCGTGTTCAAAATCAGCCTCAGAAAAAGCAAGGCACTAAGCAACTTAATTAGACCCAGTCTCTAAATAAAATTCAAAACAGGGTTATCGATGTGGCTCAGTGGTTCAGTGCCCCTGAGTTCAATCCCCAATACGGGGGGGGGGGGGGGGGGGGCTGTGGGCCCTATATTAAACACCAGTTTTCAACCTTTTCAACTGGCACATGAGAATGAAAACAATTTTTTCCTTTAAAAATTTTTTTCTTTTAAAAAAGAAACTACTACCAGACGTTTAAAAACGTGAAATGTGTCCCTACAGTATACTCCAGCACAATATGCAAAACAAACAAGCCGCCAGGAAATAACGTAAAAATACATCAATAGGGATCTGGTTACAGATATTTGTTGTACAACACTATAGCACAATACTATACAAGTCTTTAAAAGAAAGAATTGTATGTATTTATAGAAGGCAGCCCACGATATAATCTGAAAAACTGAGTGGAAAAATACATACAAAGGGGTGCCCTTATGATTTAAAAATGTGACTTGGGGTAGGTACAATCAGAAAGGATAAACATCAAGCAGTTAACATTAGCTAGCCGGAAGAGCTGGGTTAAGAATGTTGGACTGCTACCTTTACACACCTGTGTATTTTGCACTTTTAAGACTTGTGATCCTGACCAGTACCGGGAAGCAAAATATTGTGAAATAAATACTTTTAAACTAAAATACGTTTTCATATGGGAAACGTACGAGGAGGGGAATACATC